GGTGAGACTTCATCTCTACAGTAAATCAAAAAATCAGCCAGGCATGGTGACACATGCCTGTGGTTCCAGTTACTTGGAAGACTGAGGCGGAAGGTTCACTTGAGCCCAGCAGTTCGAGGCTGCAGTGGCCATGAGCATGCCACTGCACGCCAGCCTGGGTGAGACTGAGACTCCAACTAAAAAAAAAAAAAAAAATTTAAGAGATGTACAATATTCTGGTATAAATCTACCACAATCCATTTAACCTTTTAAAGTTTATTTTAGAAGCTGGGCTCGGGGGCTCAGCCTGTAATCCCGCGCCTTGGGAGGCTGAGGTGAGTGGATTGCCTGAGCCCATGGGTTCGAGACCTGCCTGGGCAACTTGGTGAGACCTCATTTCTACAATCAATCAAAAATCAGCCAGGGATGGTAGCGCGCACCTGTAGTTCCTGCTACTTGGAAGGCTGAGGCGGAAGGATCGCCGGAGCCCAGCAGGTCGAGGCTGTGGGGGCCGGGAGCGGCCACTGCACTTCAGTCTGGGTGACAGAGTGAGACTCCAACTCAAAAAATAAATAAATAAAGTTTATTTTAGAGTTGTGGGGAGCATGTGAGGATTTGTTATATAAGGTGAGACTTGGGCTCCTGGTGCCTAGCAGACCCTCTCCCCCCATAGTGGGCATGGTACCCAGTGGGTGACTGTGTGCCCCATATGGCCCTCCTGCCTTCTCTCCTGCAGCAGTGCCCAGCATCTGTTTCTCGACTTTGTGCCTGTGTGCCCGATGTTTACTGCCCACTTACAAGTGAGAGCATGCGGTATTCAATTTTGTTTCTGTGATTGTTCATTTCACACCTTGCTTTTTTGACTTATAGTCTTACAATACTTAGAGTGCTTTTCTGTGTTAACTTATCTACACAGCATCTCCTGGCCACTGCCTGCTGTCCTTCCATCTTTATTGAAGGACACTGCAAAGAGCCTATGTCGTAGGTCATGAAGGAATCAAAAACCTGACTGCACGGGCATGCTCCTGCCGTTCTGGAATGGCGCTCAGCCAACATTAGTTACCATTACTAGTCTCAGCCTGCAGTTCATCCACTTAACAATTACACCTTGGCTGTCTGCTAGGCTCTCCTCCAGGCACCGGGGATGCATCTCGGAGCAAAAAACAGACTCTACCTCTCTGGCACTTACATCGTCTAGTGGGGAGACAAACAATAAAATAAGTAAAAGAAATAGCATGTTGGTTCACGACAAGTGCTGCAAAGAAAAATCAGAGAGGAAAGAAAAGCAGGGCTTTTTGAGAGGAGGCCAGGGATTGTGATTTTAAACAGGTGGTCACAGTGGTCTGGGGAGGAGGCGGCAGTTTGAGCCTATGCCTCTCATTTTCATAGACAGTCAGTAGCTTTTGTTTAGAGGGAGAGGAGAGTCAAATGAAGTGTCGCCGGCAATTTCTTTCCCTCCCACGGTTGGCTCACACCCTCAAAACTTGGCTGCCAAGCAGCTTCCTGCTACTCGCGGGTCAGGGTGATCACACTTCTCTCAGCCCACGCAGAACACCAGGGCCCGCTTGGCTGTTTTCTCTTTCTGGCTTCCTTTACTAGGCACTTACACTGTTTTTTGTTGTGGGTTTTTTTTTTTTTTTAAGTTGGCATCTCACTCTGTCACCAAGGCTGGAGTGCAGTGGCACAATCACAGCTCACTGCAGCCTTAACCTCCCAGGTTTAGGTGATCCTTCTGCCTCAGCCTCCCGAATTGCTGGAACTACAGGTGTGCCACCATGCCTGGCTAATTTTTTTTTATTTTTGTAGAGATGAGGTCTCACCACGTCACCCAGGCTGGTCTGGAACTCCTGGGGTCAAGTGATTCCTCCACCTCAGCCTCTCAAAGTGGGATTACAGGTATTAGCCACCACATCCGGCCAAGAAAAGGATTTTTCAAAACAATAATCAGGACAAGCAATCTGATACCCTTTTAATGTGCAAGTGCTGGCTGGACAGGATGGCCCACACCTGTAATCCCACTACTTTGGGAAGCTGAAGTGAGAGGATTGCTTGAGTCCAGGAGTTTGAGACTAGCGTGGGCAACAGTTAAGTGAGACCTTGTCGCTACAAAAAATAAGCTGGGTACAGTAACCCAGCAACTCAGGAGGCTGAGGAAGAAGGATCACTTGAACCCAGGAGTTCAAGGCTGCAGTAAGCTATGATCATGCCGCTGTACTCCAGTCTGGGGGAGAGAGAATCCGTCCCCAATACAAACAAATCAAGGCAGGGCGCAGTGGCTCAAAACTGTAATCCCAGCACTTTGAGAAGCCAAGCGAGAGGATTACCTGAGTCCAGGGGTTTGAGACCAGCCTGGGCAATTTGGTGAGACCTTGTCTCCACAATAAACCAAGAAAAATTAGCCATGTGTGATGGAGCATTCCTGTAGTTCCAGCTACTTGGAAGGCTGAGGCAGAAGGATCACCTGAGCCCAGCAGGTCAAGGCTGCGGTGGCCATGAGCATGCCACTGCACTCCAGGCTGGGCAACAGAGTGAGACTGACTCAAAAAAGAAAAAAAAAAAACTGAACAGTTGAGAGAATGTTTGAAGTACTGCATAGGGCGATGAGAATACTTCTGAATTTGAAAATGTTAATGCCGAGGAAAACAATTGTGATGTGCCTGAAATTATCATCTATTCACGAATACTATAATAGTCTCATACACCCTATAGTGATATTTGAGAGAGCCTTGCTGTTCAACAACAGCAAGATGTTCAGTTGATTTGATCCCCTTCACTTCATTTTCAGTTTGTTCCTGGTTACCAGGTGCCCCCTCAAGTGTCCAGTGCAGTCCAATACCCCACCTTTCCAAGAAGGTCCTATTTCCAGGTTCTTCCGTGGATTTCTCCATCATCCCAATCACCGTCCTGTGCCCTGCTCTTTCACAAGAGTTACTCTTCGCTCTGCTGAATGCTTTACGATTGAATTTATGAAAAACTGCTATGTATTACAGCTGCCTGGTGTTTTGATTTGCCAGAATGGACATTTCTTTGGGGGCAGGACTGGTTCACAGCTGGGACGTCTGCAAATCCCAGAAGAGCACAAAATAGTTGTGGAGCAGAACAAGATCTCGGATTTCGTGCTGGCACACATCTTTGCCTTAAACCAAATGTGACTAAAAAGGGAAGTTTGGTTTGTTTTTGCTTGTTTGAGTACTTAGGAACTGGGTCAAGAGCTCTTCAAATTAACAGGTGGGCATGTGGGAAATTCCCTTTTTTGTTGTTTTACCCTCTTCTAGCACCAGTGGTGAGATTCCAACTTCATCTTAAAGCGACAATATGCCCCTTTTATCCAAACAAAAGACCTAATTCAAGACCAAATGCCAAACAGAGACGGGAAGAGCTCTGTCGCTCACAGAAATACAAGCTTTCAATTACGGGACCACATTCTAAGAGATGAAAAAGCTGTGCAAACTCTCATGACACCTTAGCCCTCCTTCCCAAGGCCCTTCCCACAGACCCTGCACTCCACAAGATTATTCCCCAGGGACCGAGCGGGACCACTTGGGTCCCACTACCCGGACTCGGCTGCGCCCCCACAAAGGCGTCCGAAAACTCCAACTGGGGCAGTCCTGGGCAAAGGCAGAAAAGTTCTCCGAGGTCCTCGGAGGTCACAGAAGTTAAACAAGGTCCCAGTCCCCATGCTCGCGGACAACCCCGGCCCTCCCAAATGCCAAGTCCCGTTACATCTGTTGACATCTGGGCTCCCGGGAAGGGTGGGAAGCTGGGCGAGGCACAGGGCGGAAGCTTGAGGCGGTTTCAGCGAAGCCCCACCCAGGCCCTGCTCCTCCGCGAGCGGCCCCCCGGAGTTGCGAGGGGCCTAGGCCCAGCAGACCCCGCTTCCTCCACTCTCCCGCACCTTGGGCCGGGAAGCACCCCGCGAGCCCTTTCCTCCTCCGCCGCCGCCCTCCATCCACCCGCCCGCCCCGCCGAACTCAGCTTTGTGCCTCCGGAAAGTCCCCGGATGTTCACCTCCCCGCCCTC